CAGGATGGCCCCCACAGACAACAACTAGATCCTAGCCTTAAATCCTACCTTCCAACCCAGATTTCTTCAGAAACTTAAACAATTCTTTTCTAACAACCTCTTTATCACAAACTTTCAATATATCCTTTACACAAAATCCAATTTTATGACTTCTCAGTACTCGTTTAAATGGCTCCCTATACTCTCTATATCTGGGGCACTGAATAATGGCGTGTTCCACATTTTCCCTTGTCCTGCACACATCACAATTGCCTGTCTCATGCTTCCCTATTATTCTCAATGTATAATTTAGTCCTGTATGCCCTAATCTCAACCTTGACAATATATCTTCCTCCCTTCTATTTAGCGAACCCCAATCCTTCATCTTAAGCTCTGCTTCCTTTTGTATTTCATACAAAAATCTTCCTTTTAACCCCTCTTGCCACCTTTCTTGCCACTGCTCTCTCACTTTTACTTTTATTATGCTTTTGATTTCTGCTTTACTATACCTAATTGGAAAGTCAACCTCCCCTTTTTTTGCCCCTCCTTTTGCAAACATATCTGCCAACTCATTTCCCTCCACCCCTATGTGAGCTGGGACCCACACTAATGTCACCACTTTACCCTTCCTATGTATTCTCTCTAAAGTGTGTCCTATCTCTACTATTATATCTGGTCTGGATCTCGAATTCATGTTTTTAATACTTACTACTGCACTACTTGAATCTGATGCTACTACACTTCTCTCTGGTCCACTTTCTTCCACCCATTCCAATGCTAATAGAATTGCTATAAGCTCACCTGTATATACTGCTAAATTGTCACTTATTCTCTTCTTTCCTACTACACCTAGTACTGGGATGACAAAAGAAACTCCAATCCTCCCATCCTCTAACTTTGACGCATCCGTAAAAACCATTACTTGCTCCCCATATTTCCCAAGATATTTCTCTACTCCCTTACTTCCACACTTTTTTCTACCTAAAAGACCCAGATCAATGCTTACCTCTTTCATATTCCAAGGAGGGATAACTGAAAGTGGCACTGTTGGACTCATGTCTAATTGAAATATCTGTGCTTCTTTCGCTTCACTCTCACAGACCCATCCAAAGCTATTCACTTGTAGTTTGAATTTCTCTTGACAGGGTCTTAACACCTCCAACCCTGGATGACCTCTGCTGTACCCTCTGAGGTTAGCCCAGTAATTGAGCATTAGTTGCTTTCTTCGTAGTTCCAATGGCATCTCTGCCATCTCAACCTGCAAGGCTGCCACTGGAGTTGACGTCATTGCACCACTGCATATCCTTAAGGCTTGGCTCTGAACCACATCTAACTTCTTAAGATTACTTTTTGACGCAAAAGTAAACACCACACATCCATAATCAATCACTGACCTAACAAGCGCAACATAGACCTTCTTAAGGCAGGCCCGGCTTGCTCCCCAATCCCGACCTCTCAAACATCTCATTATATTTAAAACTGTTTTGCTTTTCTCTAAAATCTTTTGAATATGCCCCTTCCATGTCACTCTACTGTCAAACCATAATCCTAAATATTTAAACTCATTCACTACCTCCAATCTCTCCCCATACAGATTAATATTAACAACAGCCTTTTTCTTTCTCGTAAAACTCATTACTTTTGTTTTTGCAACAGAGAACCTAAATCCCCACTTTACAGACCACGATTCAACTTTCTGTATCGCTTCTTGAATCTTCCCCACTATATATTTTACATTCCTTCCTCGCTTCCATACTACTCCATCATCCGCGAACAGTGACACTCCAACAGACCCTTCAACATTACAAAAAATCTCATTTATCATTATGGAGAAGAACACTGGACTCACAATACTCCCTTGTGGCGTCCCATTGTCGACCTCATACCTTGCGCTTATCTCAGATCCTACTCGTACCAAAATCTTTCTCCCTGTTAGAAACTGTCTGACCCATCCAAGCATTTCCCCTCTTATTCCCATCTGACGCAACCTTATTATAAGCCCTTCCCGCCACATCATATCGTAGGCTTTTCCCACATCAAAAAACACTGCCACCACACTCTCCTTGTTAGCCTGGGCCTTTCTTATGTCATGTTCCAATAAAACTGCTGGATCTATTGTGCTCCTGCCCTTTCTAAACCCATACTGATGGTCTTTAAGCAACCTATTTTTTTCCACAAAGTATACTAATCTCTCATTGACCATTTTCTCCATTAATTTACAAACATGTGAGGTCAAGGCTATAGGCCTATAACTCTCGACGGCACTGGGGTCCTTACCTGGCTTACAAATTGGCACCACTACCGCTTCTTTCCACTGCTCTGGCAACACACTCTCTGCCCAGACTTTATTATACAATTTTAACAGCTTTTCCTTACTACGATTACTAAGATTCTTTAACATACAGTAGCTAATATCGTCCCCCCCTGGGGACGTCTTCCCACATTTATTTAACGCACCATTTAGTTCAAACATTGAAAACTCCACATTGATCACATCATTATAACTCTGTGCATGCTCTAAGCCACCTGTGTGTTTTAATACTGTCCGCTCTCTTTCTCTCCTTTCCTCTATGCTTAAATTTTCTGAGCTATGGACCTTTTCAAAATATTTAGCCAATTCTTCAGCTTTACCCTTATCCTTCATCACAAGACGCTCCCCACTTTTCATCACAGGGTAGCTAAGCTCCCTACCCGCCATCTTTTTAATTGTTCCCCAAACCTGGCTCATAGAAGTCTGTCTGTCCAGCGTGTCACAGTAACCCCTCCAATAGTTCTTCTTAGCTGCCCTGATCACTCTCCTGCCAACTGCCAACTTCCTCTTATAGTCCAGATAATTCTCCCAGTTTACATTATTTGCCAAAGCCTTGAAGGCTTTATTTCTCTCACGTATGGCTACAGTGCACTCTTCTGACCACCAGAGGACAATCTTCCTTTTCCTCCTCCCCTCCTTCTTTCTTACTGTCTGTTTTGCTGCATGAACTATTGCATTACAGTCACATTAATATGACCATTAACATTTATCTTCTTAGTTTCTTCTTCACAAATGGTTTTGAACTTACCCCAGTCCACCTTGTCAAAACACCATTTACCTACCCCTCCAACAGCAGCTTCTTCAAAACTAAACCCTATCTGAATGACTAGTGGAAAATGGTCACTTCCTACCGTAGTCTCCTTATCCACCTTCCATGTGCAGTTCCCAGCAATACTCTCAGACACCAGTGTTAAGTCTAACGAGGACTCCTTCCCAGTCCTCGAATAAAATCTAGTTCCACTCCCATCATTCAGACATACAAGGCTCTTTATATCCAATAATTCTTCAACCACCAGTCCATTTGCATCATTAACCCCACCCCACAATGTACTATGTGCGTTAAAATCACCACAACACACCACCTTCCCTTCCATGTGCATCATAATCTCCTGCAGACCCTCCAGTGATAACCTTTTGCATGGATTATAGAAATTTACAACTATAATCTTACCTCCTCTCCCCCATACTTCTATAACTATACACTCAAGTGTTTCTCCCTTACTTACAACCCTATACTGAATCCCACTTCTAACAAATATTGCACACCCACCACCATTTCCTCCATCCCGATCCCTTCTTACACATTCATACCCCCTAATAACAAAATCCAGTGAATCCTTAAGCCACGTCTCTTGCACACAGATAATATCCGGTTTTACTTTACTATATTGCACATAGGCCTTAAACTCCTGACCATTTGCAATTAAACTCCGAGCGTTCCACTGTATTAGATTCATTGCTTCTCAGCAATGCCTCCTCCTCCTCCCTTATTACCCACTTCCAGTCTCTTGTACACCTGCTCCCATGGTATTCCCTTCACCCCCAAAAACTTTTCGGCACCCTTCACGACAATCTTTACTTTTTCTGCTCTATGTTTAGTTTGATCAACGCAGTTAACCACATAGGCCAAAAACACAAGCCAGTTCCCATATCCGGGCCTACACTCACCTCTCTTCTCAGCCCTACCTCTGCGGAACCTCCATCCCCCCGTCTTTGAAGTGGTACCTTCTTTGCTGCCTCAGCATACGTGGTGTTATCTGCAACTTTGACTCTCTCAATTTCTACAGCCCTTTTCCTGACTTCACATCCCCCATATGAAGTGGTGTGTTGTCCCCCACAGTTACAGCACTTTATTTTGTCTTTTTCTTTACATTCTTCAATCCTATGCTCCCCTCCACACCTAGAACAGCGTTGTTTCCCTCTACACACCGCTGCTATGTGCCCATAGTGTTGGCACTTATAGCACCGGAGCGGGGGAGGAACAAACTCTCTTACCAGGAAACTCAAACACCCCACTCTGATCTTTTCAGGAAGCACCTCATCACAAAGCTCCACTAATGGCGCTTTTCCACAGCACCGGCACTACACCACTCTACACGACACGGCGCGTTACTTTTGCATTTCCACTAGCGTTGAAGCTAGGTATTGTGTTCTATTTTCGGACCGCCTCTGGAGCGGTTCCAAAAAGCTACACGCTCGTGACGTAAGCGGACTGCCTACGCTATTGGCCAACGGCTCTCTCACACTATTGGCCAACGACTGTCGTCACTGGTAGCGTCATAAGTGCGACGTCTGACCGTATTGAGAGACAAGATTCAACCCCGCCATTTTTAAAACTGCCCTGTGAGAAATGGAATCCAGCAAGCCGCAAAAGTCCACACCGTGGTCTGTTGATGAGGTCCAAACATTTCTGTCTTTACTGGCCGAAGACAGAATACAGAAGGAGCTCGATGGCAGTACGCGAAATGAGAAGGTCTATAAAGAGATCGCCCAGCTCTTGCTAACACACGGTTACCACCGTACGCATCAGCAGTGCAGGGACAAGATTAAGAAGATGAAGTGCGATTACCGGGCCATAAAGGACCACAACGGCCGAAGTGGGGTCAATCGGAAGACCTGGAGGTGGTATGCCGAGATGGATGCCATTTATGGCCACAGGCCTGCAAACAATGGACGGGAGTGTGCTCTGGACTCTTCTTCCACGTCGAGAATGGGCGATAATGGTAAGTGCTTTGTAACTTTTATCTGTAGTTATTGTGAAAATGCATTATCACGTAACCTGTGGCTCAATGCCCACTGGAATGTATTTATTCATGTAAACGTTTGATTGTTGTCTGCTGTACAAAGTGAGCTAGCTACTTTAAGCTATCGATAGCAAGCTGCTAACACGTGCTACATCTTGCCATTTCACGTGTTGCCATTCAGTTTTGTGCTTTTACTTAAGTCGTTGTGTGTGTTTGTCTTATTATAGAATCCCTTGTCGCAAGTGAAGCGTCGAACGACCCCCCAAGGTCCCCGTCTCCAATCCCTCCAGAACCAGCTGCTGCTTCGACGCCTGATGCGTTCCCTTCGATAGCGAGCGACACGTCTAGCAGCGCACAGCGTGTGGTCACGGGTAAGGCAAACATAATACATGATCGATAGATATTTTATTCATCACCCTGGGAGAAATTCATGTCCTATAGCAGCAAAAAAAAAATAATACAACTACATTGATACTGTGCCGCAACAGTGCAGCTCTATACCGACACCTGGTGGATCTCAGAAGTAATTGCATTCAACTCGGTGAAGTATGTCCAATTAATGCATAGTTTGGACACTATCACCCTAGCTTTAGAGAATGTCAATAAAAAAGGAATCGGACCACCTGTCAGTGATCTTTTTCCAAATAAAAAATCTAATTTGTGATACAATACCACTTCACTTTGGTGTGAAAAAGAAATGCAGCGAAATGTAAGTTTAGCTGCACTGACTGATTTGATTAATCTGGGTGTATTTAAGTCATGCTCATGCTTTGTCCTAAAATGCCTAAACATTGACCATTAAATATTGTTTATTGACAAAGCGTGATACATGACATACAAACATTACCCGATTTGCAATTAAGTCAAATGATCCCACACGTAACACTTTAAGTGGAGGTTTTTCCTCTTTGAAAGGGTAGTTGTTGCAAAATCTCGGGTAGTGTGATATATACTGGTCTGAAACGTAATAATCTTTTTGCCTACATAAAAGTATGTCTCCAGAAATGTCACTGCTTTGGATAATTACCAACTGTTAATACTTTTTTTATTGTTGTACAGGGAAGAGAAAAAGGGCGCTCTTCCAGACGGAGACTGTAGAAATGATGAGGCAGATCCAAGCTGAAGATGTGGTGCAGCAGGAGCTGAACCGGACACAGCAACTCCAGCTCGTCAGAGAGTCGCAAGAGTTGGAAGCGACATTGAGGAGGGAGGAAAATACACAGGCGGCTGCATTTAACCAATCATTTCTTGGTCTCCTGGGCCAGCTGGTGGAAGCCATGAGTGGCCGCCGAAACTGACACTTCACCAAGACACTCTTCACCAAGACACTTTGTAAATAATTTTATTGGTGCACTTTAAAATTTTGTTTTTTTTAAATAAATGTGTGATTTTTTCCAAGCCAGGTTTCATTTCTCGGTACACATGAGTTAACATGCAAACCAAAGGTTTCACATTATTTGTTGTCAGTAAATCCTTAAAGCAGCAGTAAGCGATTTGGTCGTTTCCGGCAGTTTCTTCTGCCTGAGCGAGTTAGTAGCCCCGCCCACCCGTCTCCTCGTCACACCACACCACATGAACGCGTGATGCTATGGCCAAAATCCTTGGTAAACTACGCCCACAACCAAGCACCATCCTCCAGAAGAACAAAGACCTGCAGAAAGTGAAGAGAAGCAGCGTGAGGAGCAGCTGGAGCACAGGAAACAGGTAACGCCTCCGTGTTGTTGAAGGACCAGATGGCCAACAGTTTGTGGACGATCGCTCTACAGCAGGGCTCCACAATATTCCACTAATAACTGGAAAGGTCCGCAGCACAGCATGGATGTGTAATCCCTGGCCGCGTTTTCCTGTTCTGAGTTGTAGAGGCATCATTACAATTTTTATGCCATGGTGGCTTTGCTATCTGGAATCAGGAGTAACATTATAAAATCAATTTATTACATCTGTGTTGAAATGGCCCATGACACTGTCTTGCATATGAAACAGGTGGACAAAAAGCGTCCGTGGGAATGAAGTGTCGAGTGAGACCCGGACATGTGAAGGACAAGAGCCAGAGAAGCGCTGCAGAGGATCGCTACAAGGTAACACTCTTCTATCGGTAAGGAATCAGAGTAGCATATGTTGTCTGTTAGTTTAAAACATTTTTTGGGATGAAGCCACATATTAATATACGCCATAAGTAATGTTATGATAAGGGTTTTTGATGTCTCATGCTATAAAATCTCAGAGATATAATAAACCTAATATTATCAACATGGAGCCTTTAATAGTCAACATGGCTAAATGGGCATTGCGGCGACTTTCAATGCTAAGTCAATGGTGACGTGCGCTTGAGCGTGGAATGTGGGCGTCTCGACGTACGCACTTGCCGTGCGGTAAGGCCTGGCAGAGTCGCAGGAGCGGAAAATGATGCACGCAGGAGATAAACATTGCTTAACTTGCAGATGCAGCAGACCAATCGGAGAGCCTCTGATGGTCACAGGGACATTAGCGTCCTAGCGAGGCCAGACTGAAAATACTCAACAGCCAAAACAGGTCTACACCAAGGACTAAAACCAGCTTGGACATGGGGACACAGTGCTGTGAACTAATCCTCAACATGAATTCTCATTCTCCAGTGACTGGAAACACTGTGGGAAACCATTAAACATAAAATAACATATTTAATGACTTGGGTTATGACTTATCCTATATTATTGTAATGGGTTGAATATGTGTTTTCTGAGGCAAGGAGTGGTGCAAGCTGTTTCAACGCAAGTCAAAAAACACCAAAAACCATAGACTAAAGTGAAAGAGGTGGGCGGGTCGGAACGCAAAAAGGCTAAGATCTTATCGTCTTGTCAAAGAAAGACTTCAGCGACGTATTGAGAGGAATGGCGAGACCACGCCAGGAAAACCGTCCAAGACAGAGAGGACGGTGAGTGGAATAAGATAAGATGTACTTTATAATCTCCACAGGAGAAATTTACATAGTCACATGGGTGTCTGCCTGTACTGAACTAGCTCTTTTCACATTGTGCTTGACAAACGCTCTATGGTTGTATCGGTGGCCATAAATTCTGAATACTAAATGACAGATGAGTTGTGCCAAATTTGAACGTACCTTCAATACAAAGGCCACAATAACCTAGTTACGATAGCTAGATGCAGGCAGTTTTTTTATTTCGATATAGTATATGAAAGAGTGATTTGTGAAAAAATAAAACCTATTTGTTTTCCCAACCGAACCAAAAAAATACAATAGTATAGCAGGGATTGTGGAACACCTTCTCACCCATGCTTTTGTAGAGATATATATATATATATATTATATCAATATATATATAACTATATATATTAGGGCTGTCAAAATTATCGCGTTAACGCACGTTAATTAATTTTTTTTATTAATCGCGTTAAAAAAATTAACGCATTTGACGCATGCCCATAAGACACTCAGAATGCCGCGGACACAAGGCGCGTGTCAGATGGGGACAGAGCAGGTTAGACCCTCTGGGAAATGAAGTTTGAAAGAAAATACACACGGGACCGCGGGGCACATGTGATTCCTGTAGTAACATCTGCATGATGAGCTGTGTGGGCGCGACAGCGCTCTGACAAGCAGCACCAACTTCCAGCGGCTGGTGATCACGGCGAACGGCGCTGCGTAATTGGGATTCATATCCAAGACCCACGCACAGAACTATTACAGAACTAATCTCTAGTGTGCGTACGTGTCTTATGCGTAACCGATGCTCACAATATGTACAGCGCTGAAGCTGGACTGCGGAGCCTCGGGTGGGGGTCCATCCTCGGTGTCTTCACCCAAGCGCACTCGCTAAATAAAGCTGAGGTTCCTAAGTTTCCTTTCGAACATCATTTTCATTTAGTTGTCGCCAAAAAAAAGATAAGGTGAGTGAGCAAATCAAACAGATTTAATGACATGCTGCATTTCTGACTATTTTGAAATGTCCCTCATCTTTAACAAACAATGTTTTGGTCCTGAGTCTAACAGAAAGACCAAATGGTAATATGATACAATAATTGCATTTAATAAGGATTAATTGTTATGAACAAATCATACAGTACAGCTTAGTGGAACATATGTATACAAGGTTTTTTTTTGTTCACTAAAGCCTGTCCATTTATCATTCCATTAAAACAACATTTTACAGAAAAATATGGCATACTTTTGCCAATAGTATTGAAAATGTGATTAATTAGAGATAATAACTTTTGAAGCTGATTAACTCGATTTAAAAAAATGTATCGTATTGACAGCCCTAATATATGTAAGGGATAATGATAGCCTACAGGTCATTACGAAAATAAGTACCGACAGGGCGAAGCGGACACCCACGTGCAGCGGAGGGTCTGCTTCCCGCCCCTAAGTGTACTTAGTTTCCGTAATGACTCTTTAGGCTAATACATTATCCCGCTAATTATACTGCTTTTACCAAACCTTACAACACGCAAAATAAACTTCAGACACTTTTATGAAAGCCCAAAAGTTTATTTTAATGACAACAATAAAGTAACCCAAAAAGTTTTCCCCGTTGCTCGCACAACCCGGGCAGGCTATTGACCATTGTGGGCTATGCTAGCAACAGTCCAGGCTGCAACTTCCCAAATTAGAACTCTCTGAACTTGCAATGAAAACTGAACAAAAGAAATCTGAACATTCAGCGATGAGTGACTCCCCATACATAAACCAACCTAAATCGCAAATTTCGATCCTCTGCAAATTGTGTCCGAAAATGTGCGGTATCTTAAAATGTGGCCGGTATCTTCCTACTCCGGGTTTTTCGGATCGCCGTTTCTCGCATTACATCAGTGTTTATGTCATGAAAACGTAAACCGAAAATTCTGAAAAACTTCCCGTGCACTTGTATTAAGACTGGATATGTATAATTCACTCTCCGATAAACATTTCCTTGCGTTGATTGATTGGCAGTTGCCGTTTAGTGAGCGGCCAGAACACTTCCGGTTTTTTCCACATCGCTTTTTTGACGCAGAGAAATAGATTTTTTGTCATGAAGACAAGACCAAAAATTCTGAAAAATGTCCGTGGCACGTCGTGTGAAGAATGTATATGTATTCATATCCATCCATCCATCCATCCATTTTCTACCCTTTAATCCATTTCTGGGTCAGGGGGGTGGCAATCAGAGATGCCACCCAAGTCTCATAGCACCAGCCCCCTCACTGACCCTCTGCAGGTGGTGAGTCCACAGGAGGACGGCTGCTCTCTGAGTGTGAGCATAGCCTTGATCTTTCAGTGGGGCTTTGGGCAAAGTGGGGTTAAGTGTCGTGCCCAAGGACACAACGACAGCAGTCATCAGTGGGAGTCGTGTGGAGAAGGTGCAGAGGTGGGAATTGAACCCACGACCTTCTGGCACTTAAGGCCAATGCTCGAAGTTTTGAAGCTCTACAAGACATATTTTAAAAAAAGAAAAAAAAAAAACAAAGCTTCATAACAAAACACAGTGACATTTACAGTTGCATTGAAAGTGTTTCAAAGATAGTTTACCCTTGGCCCAATATTTTCACTTGATAAACAAGTTTTTCAAGAAATTTAATTCTAAGAATTTTCATATTCATTTAGAGATATTGAATTTGAAAGATCTTAAACATTGCCATTGGTTGGAGGTGATTCAAATGGACATTAAACTGGTAACAATTCGACATGTTTTATACAATTTTGAGGAGTACACCTTAACTGACTTTTTCCTCTTTGTTGTTTTGGGCTTTAACTGTGCTTTACTGTTAGAAATATACATATCACATTTTTGCTAGCTCCTATTACTCAGGAGGGACGCAACAAATTTTTACCATACCGCTCTCAAGAATAAAGGTTTGGTGAAACGGTCTCTGGTCATCCATGACCATGGGTCATCCTCTACCTGCAGATTATGTGAAGATTTTTCCTACAGGACAGTGACCACATCCATGAAGTAGCAGCAATAATGTTGTGGTAGTAATCGCGTTAAAATGCAAACGGTCTCTCCGTTTATGATTAGAATCCGCTTCAGAAGCCTCTATTTAGTTTATCCTAAACGGACTGTGGAAGATTAATAAAACACATGTGGCTGTTCAAAGTCATTGAGCATCAACTGGTGACGTCTGGTCAGTATCATTGCGATCGATGGATGCACCAGAAATGCACTGAATGATATTGTGACTGACAGAGACCGTTCCTGATTACTGGACAGTGAGGCAGGTCCGCAGACAGAGGCAGGAGAACCACAGACAGAGGCAGGAGAACCACAGACAGAGGCAGGAGAACCACAGTCACGGGCACTGACAATAATACCCTTTTGGAATTCGGGCGTTCTGCTCTCCCAAAATTCCATCCACTGAGCGGCGCTGTGATCAAAAAATGACACCGTTTGTTGCCCAGTTCACTTCCGGTTGATTTCATACAATGGCGAATATGGCTCACGAAAACAACAAGCGATTGACAGTGCCTGAATTGCGTGAAAGGTTGAAGCGAAAGGGTATTTGCAGTGTGGGAAAACGAAAGGAGGAATTGTTGTTGCTAGTTCAACGAGCGGAGGGTGTTTATGAAGATTTAGAAGAAGATGACAGAGAGCAGAGTGAACGAAAACGGCTGTGTGTGCGAGTGACAGATGGTGAAGTTCAGCTAAGAGGGAAGAATGTGAATTGGACGGATGATTTGCGCGATATGCCACTAGTTAGAGACGGGAATGTATTTGCATATCTGATGCATCAGTGTAAATGGGGATGGGAGAGAGTGAACAATTTCGAAAAAGATGATGGATACATGATGTTCAAAGATGTGCATGTAGAGAAG